AGGAGCCTAGGAACAACCTGCATGGCAAGGCCACATCTAAGGCCAATGTCACGATCCTATCCTGGTGCGCTTCAGGACTGAAATCATCCGGACTACTGACCACTCGGCTGACCGGAAAAATAGTAAAAATTTGAGTCAACAGACTCAGAACATGCATCAGTTATAAGCTTGCAGTGAATATACCAACTGTAAGGGGTTTCCGTTTCCGATTCCTTATAGCCAGCTACATCAGGTATGTGAAAGAAAAAAAAAAGATTTATATTAATCGTCAGCGACAGGATTCGAACCTGTGTGGGCGAACCCATCAGATTTCGAGTCTGACGCCTTAACCACTCGGCCACACTGACTTGTTGCATGATTATGTAATCTAATCACATACTATCCCACTTAAGATTATATAGTATTTAGGTCTACTGTTTCTTCCACAGAGGTATATATTGGTAAGTAAGAAAAGTAACAACTTATATACGAATTCAATTCTAAAAAGTATATCTATAATATAATGCTCTACTGACTTCACCTTCTGGTAGATTACTCATAACTCTCTTTCAGAGCAATGTATATCAGGTTCAGAGATATATAAGATGCACACCTCACGATCTACTAGTTCCCTGCTTTTGTAGTGGTCAAAGAGAACGAGGTTGCAGAGTCTGGGGCAAAGCGGACATAGATGCTGAAGTCTGCATCACTGCTCTACACCTTTGATGACAGAGTAACATTGTTCACAGAAGACAGCCGCAGTAAACAAGAGTAATCTGAGATACAACAATTTACCACCTTGTGCGAGGCACTACCCAAAGGATATATAGCTGTTAGGTGGATTTACCACGAATGCCTGAACAAATAGGAGCAAACAATCACGGACCAATATATGGTGCCTTCCTCAATGCAAGCAGATTCATGGCCTATGATAACATCGAGCTATGTCAAGTGTGATAAGGAGGTTCATTGTCAGCACTAGCTGATACTGGCATAGGAATGCAGCGAGTCATGGAAGAAAGAGGTCAGAGAAACGCCATTCGCAGCCGTGCAAAACGAAAAGCTTTGGGCGGAACAGGCCTCCCCACGCCTCAGGGAAACGCACACCGATTGCAGATAGTAGCGCACTGGGCACGATCAGGAAGATCAAGAGCAGTCGCTGAATATAGGTCGACAAGACAAACCATATGAGGTAGGTGATAAAGAGCGGGTCTAAAACGATCGAGTCCCGCAGGCTCAGCCGAGTCAGAAGCGCATTGAGTAGGGAGGGATTGGCACCCGGGCCACGGTAACGGTACCATACGCCCCAATGGGGATACAGCCACCACTTGATGAGCAGTCCATCATGAAGTGTGCAAAGACTGATGGCTGTCCCAACCCACAGCATCAGCAAGGTCGACATACTGAATGGGATTAGTGTTGTCGACCAACAACGAAGTGCCAGAAAGGCAACTGTCAGGATATGAAGATTGAAGAAGATCACGCAGGAAAATGGCATGTAGGTCTCACACCCTATCCTCCGTGCCACGCTTTCCATGAAAGCATTATAATCAACCATCGAGTTGACGTCAGGGCTTATACAGTAATACTCGCGCTCGGCTGCCCCATGTCTTCGTGCTTGGTCTGCATAATCAGCGGGAAGCTGTCTTTCACCACGCAGCAACAATGCGATATATCGACTCAGCATCTCGGCCGCAGAAGAAATGCCTCCCTGGCCAGGCCGTGCGTAGCCCAAGAAGAAGAGACAGTCGCCCAGTCCCTCGGGGAAGCAATGCAGAAACCAGGATCGTGGGTTAGCCGAGAAAGGAAGGCCATCAGGAAGATGAAGCCAAGGGAATTCAGTTCGGAAGCCATGGCAGAGCAAGATGACATCAAATTCGCGCCGTTGCTTGGTCCCGTCCGGCAGGCTGAATTCACAGGTCTGCCCACAAGCAGAGACATATGGGGTTATTATGGCCTCTAACTTTCCGCTGTCTAAGGCCTGACACAACCGCGAACTCTTCGTTATTACCGTGGATTGATCGCTGCGGAAGAAGGCTGGGGCCAACCTTTCTAGAAACCAGCGCTCTCTTGTGGACAGGATTAGGCCATTGTAAAAAACAGCACGACGGTACAAGGTATAAAGATAGACGTTTTGTGCGGCACCCAAGCGATTCGTAGTGATGGATTCAAGGAAGATGCTGACTGGGAAGTCCACGGTTTGGTTGGCTTTTATTTGTTGTGTCTCATCAAGCCTGTTAAGGTAGCGTATGCCCACACAGGGTGGACGTCGCAACCACACCGTCAAATTAGGCGACTGTTCACATAGGTCTGCCGAGATATCGGCACCGCTCTCGCCGCCTCCCACGATGAGAACCCTAAGCTTCTTGTCCGCAACTTCCTGCATGAAAGATTCATCGTACGCGCTGGAATGGACGATCCTGCCCTCGAATCCTGCCAGCCGTGAGGGCACTTCGTTCGGAACTTGGCTATTCCCCGTCGCAACAATAAGGGCATCCGCCTGCACATGGAGCATGGACTCATCATTCTGATCCTCTCTCGTCTGTTTGATCGACAAACTCCACTGTCCATCATCTCCGCGAGTGGCCTTACAAACCTCCGAGCGATACTTTATATGACGCTCAAGATCGAAGTGGCGAGCATAGTCCTGTAGATATAGCAAATAGTCACCAGCCGTGGAGTACCGCATGCGAGACGGGTCAGAGAAGTCCGAAAAAGCCATCGCCCAGTTGGAGATTGTGAGATGAAGGTTCGGATAAGCCATTGTAGTGGTGAATAGACTACCTAACTGATCGGAACGTTCATGGATGGTTGTATCAAGTCCTGCTTGTAGCATCTCTTTCAGAGCTACTAGGCTACAAGGCCTAGCGCTGATGATGGCTACGCTTTTCATGGTGAGGGAAAATGGAGGTGAGTTCGCTCTTGGGGTACTAGGTACTAAGCCCACTCGTACTGGAGGAGACCATCGCCCTTACTTATATTTATACTTCTCAATCATTGAACCTATTGAGGGAGTTTCCATTGTGTGACAGCCAATTGTTAGTTCTGATTGGCGCGATGCAGAGCAATCTACAGCAGCTAACGACCATGGGCACATCTAGTTAGTTAATTAGTCTACTGCATGCGGTTACTAAGGTGCTGTCGATCCGAAAAATCGCTCTCTGAGTGGTCGTCTTAATACATGATGATAAAGAGGGTAAGCACTAAGTTAAAAGCAGGTCAGCTGACAGCTTTTTGCAACTTCGGTCGCTACATATTGCCAAATTCCATATAGTGCATTCATGCTCTGCAAGCCATTTGTATCACACGGATGTGCTACCCGGTGCTGAAGCGCTTAGTCAATTTCAGCGCAACCTACGAGCTGACTATCATTCTTCATGCAATGCATGCAACATAACTGAGCAGGTAACTCACTCACAACGACCGCTTGAGCTGATTGGTATCTCGTCAATTACCTCTCCCGTGTGCAGAGGTCAGAGGGAGAGGTGCACGCTTCAGAGCACTCCTAGAGTGGCATCCAGTTTTCTTGAACGTGGATCTGTAATCCAAATATTACTTATTACAAGCCGCAGATAATCGGCCGGTATCTCGAGGGGAAACGAAGGCTGTTGACCGCCAGCTTGGCCGTTAAGTAATTCGAACATATTAGCGTAGTTTAGTGACCTCTTAGACACCAAATTAGCCATTGCTAATATTGCAATGCCAATATGGTATAATGTATATTCCAGATCCTTCTCATATTCTTCCTCAACCGCTAATTCTCTATCTATATGAACAATGTCTTCTCCGTTCAAAAAGGCTCTAAGGTTTGTCTATATGACTGAATTTAGAGCCTTATTTTCCCCACCACTCTAGCATTTCACTGAATACTCCGGCTATAGTCGAAGAATTCAATAATGCAGTACTTGACCATCTAATAGAATGTTGGGAGGAAAAGGATTAATATGCAACACAAGCTAACCATTGAGTGGTATTAGCGAGCTAGTTGACAGCTACTACTACTACTACTACTACCTGCATGGCTCCTAAATTCATCACATGCTCCGGTAACATATGCGATGTTACTCGTTGTGGATTCCAGTTGGTGTATGCTTCTCCCAAACCAGTCGGGATCCTGGAAACGAGATGGTTGTCAAATAGTATAGAGATGGTTGTCAAATAGTATATTGATATCTCCGGAGATGGTGTCATCGCTCATCAGATTCACCTAACTTCTTGATTGGTAAGTACTTACTGATTGTAACCCACCGCTGACGCTGTTACTACTAATAGACCCAATCAAAGACATGGCCTCATGTTATATCTGAAAAATGTATGAGGAGTATCATTGAATGTATCTGTCATCTTACTAGTCATACGCACATCGCATGCAAATAAATAAGACGGAATGAACAGACAATAAGACTGTATCTCACAAGAAGCTTAAGCGCCAGGAACCGTAGGGCAAGGGTGAGAGCGGCGGCGTTCCTGCCTGGTAGAAGATGGTCCAGTGAAAAGCAAGATCGACCACCCAAAAACCAATTCTAAGCGCCGCTTGTTCGTGAGGCTAAAATTACGAGCGACCTAAGTACAGATATGTCAATAACAATTCGTGAGCCTTGCGTGGCCTTCTGACACGGCGCTACATTGTATCCTACTTTTTGGGGTGTCTGATACTTGATTCTATTCTAATTGGCCTATCATACACCCAGCGACTTGCTCTTAAGCGCCATTCCACATTCGTCCCCGCCATGCAAAACCCTGAGTGCTCAGCCTCCCAGAAAGGAGTGCTATCGGCCTATCGATTCAGTGGCATGTCAGCGGAGTCTGGCGGCTGAACGAGCAGATGACGACGATCAACGCCAGCGGTGCTGTTCGCATGGACGCTTCTTGGATAATTGGCCATCAGTCGTTCATTACAATATATCGTTTGGCGCCTGGATTGCACTTGTGAGGAACTGCTAATTCTGAGAGCCTTCCATCCAGGCCTTCTTGACATACAAATAGCCCTCTCTTTAACCTGCTCCTTCCTCACCATCAAGCAAGCACAACAATACTCTTCCATATACTGTTATCCTTATTCCAGAACGCAGACCGACCTATCTCGAAAATTTCTTCGCAATGTTCAAAGCAACAGCACGTTCTCTGTACCAACTCATCGGGAAGACAAGATTGGGTGATCTTCCTCCTGAATGGCAGGCTCCTGTTGGACAGGTTCTTGACGCTGAAGAAAAGAGTGTGAGTCGAATCATTCCATCTTTGGCTTTGTAGCAGATACTGATGCGTGCGCAATAGGACCCCAGGTTCAAGAATGCTGAGATCCGGTAACCCTCAGACTCTCCGATGGAATTCTGGGATAAACATGAGATACAAGCTAATCGGATTTCATAGAGGCTCTAAGCCACATGCTTCCCACGATGATCCGACCGACCCGAAAGAAGTCGTATCCGTTCGTATCAAGGATGACGGCCTGAAAACTTTCCGGAGACTGCACATTCATCAAGATGGCTCCGTCAAAAGAATTGATGTTTAGAGTGCTTGTTGGGGTCAGCGATCTGAGGTCAGTAGGATGGGTAAGGATGTATTTCTGGAAGACCTGGCCATATCCGTCCTACCATTTGTATTGCTAGTTATGCGCTTTGGATTCTTTTGTCTTGGGTACTGCAGCTGTTGGAATGACTAGTCTTGGGTTAATTGATTTTGTGAGAGATTGAGTCTAGTGTTCACGCCCTTCCTTACGTCCTGCGTAGCTAGCACTGAAAAAACTAGAATGTCATTTGAACTTGGCTGGGTGGGTATACAGGTTCGTTTAAGGCGAGCGTAGCCATGGATCGTCCAAAAGGTCCCTCGCCGATTCTCTCTCCTCGGGCTTCCATTTGAGCATCTTGCGCAGGAATTGCAAAAAAAGCTGCCGCGATTCTCCCTCCAAGATTTCTTCAAGATTTTCCAAAGACACAGGAGGAATCTCGGTAGCCGCCTTCCAATTTCCTAGCCCACAGTCAGCAATAAAAAGATTCTTGGGATATCAAAATCTACTCATACCTTCGTTATCAAAGAACTGGCTTGCATAGTCACTGCTCTGCACCAGATCTTTCGGGGGTGCTCCCATAATAGCTACCATCTCAGCGAGATGATGAGCATCGGAGCATTTCTTATCTGAATCTCTAGCGTAAAACAGATGCCCTTGTTGGAAGATGTCCCATGTCTGTCCCGATCATTGAATTAGTAAATGCACGAACATCCATAATTATGGTATTGGCCAAACAGCCTGACGGGGTGAAAAAGATGGGTTGCATACCAGGACACCAACATTCCAGATATCAACCTTCTCATTCCACGGCATCTGCAAAACCACCTCAGGAGCCCGATAGATATAGGGCTGGATATCCCCGGAATAAGTACTTGACCCAAAGCGAGCCTGACCGAAGTCACACAGCGTAGGACGGCCATGTTGTTTGGTTTTTCTGAGGTTGCGAGAGGCATAGATCACTCGATCGCCCACGACTTTGCGTGGGCTGGGGTTGGACTTCTCTTCTTCTTCGAAATCTGCCAATATAGAATTGTCTTCTATGGCCATCATGATGTTCTTTTCTTGGATATCTGGAGGGGACCAATTAACTAAGGGTTTTCTTCTGAAGGGGTTATAGGACGAATCAGTATACCTGTATGGACAATTCCAGCTTCCGCATGGAGATAGTCCAAAGCAAGAAGGAGATGCACGAGGGTTAACTTGACTATCTTTTCAGGAAGTACTTTGGCCCTGAGATGTGTGCGAAACTCATGAAGGCTCATCCCTAGCGGCGGGTGAACCAGGCATCCGAAAGTGCCTTTTTCGGACGTAATGTGAAAGCTATCCAATGCTTTTCGAATAAGCTGCACACCAGCATGGTCTGCTGTGCTAAGAGAATTCAAGTGGCTGTAGGCTTCCCTCTCTCGTTGGCCCTCTGTTGAATTGCGCTCAAATACCTTTAGTGTGACATAAGCGTGCTGCCTAGAACTACAGTGAGTTTTGTTTCGCGCCGCAGCTCATATTGCATGTAGGGTAAGCTGACTGGAGGTCCCGGCAAAGCCAAACGGTCGAATATCCACCGTAACCCAATTTACCAATGACCTGATACCGAGATTGGAAGACTTCGCCAATCTTCACGGGATAGAAGTCATCGGGTGAGTACCAGGACAGCGTCTCCTCCTCGACCTTCTCGTTTGCATCGAGAAGAGGAAAGTTTGACTGGGAGAAATCGCGCACTGGCGATGGGGGACGTTGGAGCAAAGATCGCCAGGAGTAAATTTGCCTGGATAACCGAGATGGAATGCGGAACATCGATGCCATGATGACAGGTTTGATGGATGATGAACACTACTACTCCAGGCGATCAGGGGATAACGCGCGACCTTATGCCTGCCAGGTCAACAGGCACGCTGGAGGGGATGACTCAGCAATGCTGACGTGATGGGGGGTCTTGTGCATCTTTGGACCCGCAGTTGCCATCACATGACTTGCATATCTGAAAATGTCTCATAATTGCCCTGAAGTTAGGCGCTTTGAGGTGGTATGAGCCTGGTGAATACTTCTTCTCGCTACTGAGAGGAGATGGTGCTTTATTAATTTGCTGGGAGTAGATTGCTATGCACCTATCCCGAAGTCTTAAGTATGACAGGGATGTCTGTATTCCGAAGTGCTCAGCCTATGCTGGTATACTTAACCTGTTTGGCTAATACTGTGATATTGATGAGATTCTTCCGTTTATAATCCCAGATCATGCATAGATAGATTCTGGAAAATGATCTAATTAAAAATGCTACACTAATGAACGATATGAGCTGGAGATCCCGATTATTTATGGAGAGGTCTCAATTTATATTCAATGTCATTGCAGATTTTTCCTTCGAATAATGGCAAAAGAGTAATTGCTATAATATCTTCTAGTAAATCTGCTGCTGATACTCTACGTTACTGGTGCTCTTTGTTAGGCTTGTATACTATTATCCCAATTTCCTGAGTTATCCATCCTGTTCTTGACCCTTGACGAAAAACATGTTTAGCGTGACAAAGATGCCGTGCTGCCTACATAAATAAAGTATAAATAAGACTTCTCGTATGGGTCATAGATAGGGGTAATATTGAAACAGAAGTGATGCCTGTACAGCCACATGTTTGAGCCTACCCCGCAGCTCAGTTTTCCAAAAACTTGATGCCGCAGTTGGATACCGAGAAGCTATTGGGTGAGTAGCTAGGAGAGTTTTTCTCCTTTCGAGCTTCTCAGTTGGGTCAAGGAGAAGAAGACTTAATTGAAAGTAGTTACGCACGGGCGAGAAAGGGCATTGGAACAAAGCACGACTGTAGTACAGCGGTCTAGATAGTTTTGGTGACTGGTGGCATCTCCAGGTCATGATGAGAATATGGGCGAGGAAAGATGGTTAGTTCAGATGGTGATAATTCAGCCTTGTGTTTACGGAAGCAACCGCATGATTCGCTCTCTGTGTGACAGGGCATCTGTTCCACAATCAAATGACTCAATATATTTCTCAGCCTGATGCCTTCGACCCCGCTATTTGTGAGATATATCTTAGCCTTGCCTGCAATCTGCGGATCTTGCTACTAAACGGTCCTTCTTCCTGCTTCGGCATACTCCACTACAAGTCTACTCTTTATCCTCGATCAGGCTGTTACATCCTCACCCTAAACCATGCAATCAACCACCATCATGGAGGAACACGAGGAGTCCGAGTATCTCGAGGACTCTGAGGACTCTAGCGACATCTCGGATGACCAGCCCGAATGTAATTACATTTACCACGATGACCTACCAATCTTGCCAACCTGTTACGTGTATGTCGCTATACTACCAGGGGACGGCGTATTGAAGCACTGGATGCTTTACATCGACGCTCCAACCTACACCGAAAAGCCCATTATCCACCTCGTCGGATCCCCAGATTCTTACCGAGTCGAAACACGATTTTTGACGGACGAAGATGAAGATAGTTTCATTGACCGTGTTAATTTGTGTGATATTCCAAATCGACAGGGGGTGTACGATGCTATTATCAATGCTGGAGAACGTGCACGCGTCAATAACCAAGATCCGAGCTATAACTCTCAGGTCTATATTCTTAGGCTTTTGCGTGCATTGGAAAGGCGACGCATTGTCAGCAACAAAGATCCAAAGTATAAAGAGGCAAAGAAAAAATTGAAGGGAAAACAGCAGAGGCCGAACGTTATGCAGTGAATGAATGTTAGGTCGTTACTGCCTAGGGTGCTGATGCGTTGCTGTTGGCGCCTTTCGTTTAGTATGACTTTGCTTTTGAAAGGGTATGCGTGATGTGGAACATCTCGTGCCTCTTTATCTAGGAATATCAATGGAATCTTGGATTTGTCTTCCAATTTCACGTTTTGTAGTCACAGTTTAGCTGTCTGTATGGCGGTCTCCATAGGTTCTAAGCTCATCGGCACTATGCATAAGTGACAAGGCTAGCGTGGGGCTGTTACCAATGATATCGGGACACATCAAGTACACACCCCTTGACATGCAGGTGCTGGTAAGAAAGATATCTTACTAGTTTGTTTAAGCGAAGTAACGGAAACTAGGGTGAGGGGTAAGGTGGCAGTCCGACCTCTGAAGCCATATCTGCCTCGCTCGTGCCCTTCCACCCTATCTTCGCATCGGTGACTGCCACCCCCGAGATAATGCCTTTCCGAAAGCGCCTGAAAGACTTAAAGGCGACTCTCCATCCACCAAAAAACTCCAGTCTGAATGTTTCTCAAGATACCAGCACTGCATCGTTGGTTTCACACAATACTCCAGTCGCTAATGAGAGTTCTTCGATCATTCCCGATCCAGTTCCTCTAAGACTCGAAGGTCTGTGGAAGAAGGCTTACCTAGATCTCCAAGCCAAGAGTCCAGAGCTACTTGCCCAGTATGAAAGGATCGTCCTGTCGAGCGCGGAATCGGATACCTTGAACAACGAAAAGCGAGAAAATACTGACATTGATCCTCGACTCGAGTATTGCGTAAAAGGGCGCCTCGAAGCGATCGAAAAGTCACGGCTTAAGATATGCATTAGAGGAAGAGAGATCGAGGTCAGAAAACAAGTGCGTCGCGTCGTTGGGGGAATTCTGTCTGTGAAAGACGTTATATCCGCTGCAGTGAGCGCAGAGCCACATGCCTCTATAGCATGGGCAGGTGTTCTGTTCCTACTAGATCCACTGGCCAAATCATTTCATCAGGATGAGGAAGCCATGAGCGGATTTCAGGCTGTATCAGATCTGATGGTTCGATATGCATTTCTGGAGAAAAGCCAGGCCAGAATATATTCGACTTCTGCCTCCAAAGTAGCCGAATCGCCCCAGCATCTTGCAGAGTTGGTGAGATCCAAGACCGTCGAGCTATATGTTCTTATACTTGAGTACCACATGTGTCTTGCTACGCACTTCAATCATTCAGGGTACAGGCGATTTTTGAAGGACTGTGTAGATGTCGATAAATGGCGCAACATGCTCGAGTCGATAACGCGTCTTGATGGAAAGATTCGCCAGGATTTGACAATATTCGTTGGCGACGATATCCAAGCGATCTTCAAAGAGTTGGAGAATTCACAGCAAGTGGTGATAGACTCACTCTCTGTATTAAAGGAAAGATTCAAGGTAGGCCTCCCCAAAATAACGGATATTCGTACAACAGAATCGTAT